CAGTAAAAACAAAACCTTTCATATAAAGTGAAAAGAAGTACACGTAAAAAAAAAAAAAAAAAGAAGAAAGAAAGTGAATGACGTTTCAGCACTCGATAGATTGGTTTTGGCATAGAGTTAAGAAAAACAAAACCAGAGGAGAGAGAAAAAAGGTGTGTGTGAGAGAACACATCTTTTCAATAGAATCATAAAAAAGTTTTTCTTCTTCTTTACAGTAATTTCTACAAAATCAAAACCAGAGCTCAGAGATGAACACCGAGACGAGCTTTGCTCCCCGCAATCCAAATCCTTCTCATCTTCCTTTTTCCTGTTGACTTTTCATCGTATAGAATATATATATTTATATATCTATATTTATACGTATTTGTTTCTATTTATATATATAATATGTATAATTTGTGGGGTGCAATCATTAGTTTACAGGCCGGAGCACTAAGGCGAAGGACACGTTGAAATTTTTTTGTTTAAATGTGGTGACTGGCTCTTTCCTTGCTGCTCTCTTCAACCTCTTCTGTTGGTAACTGGAGAAAGAGAGAAGCTGAAGGATGTAAAGGTCTTAGAAAAAGTGTTTGAATAGAGCCATGGCGGGGGTTTCCCCCATCCCCACGGTGCCTTAAGAAGAAACAACAGATGACCGCTCAACCTGGCAAACGTGAGCACCCCGGCCCGACCCTCCCAGTTAAAAAAAAAAAAAAAATATCCAACTTAAAAATAAAATAAGAGACAAGATCCAGAGAGAAAACTAAAAGCATTATTATTCATTCATCTGTGTGTTTTAACCCCATCTTTTCATACATGCTTTTTACTGTTTTTTTTTTTCTCTTTAAATATAGATGCTCAGTCCCCTCCTTTTCATCATATCCTCATATGGGGTGGGGGGCAACCATTTGGACCTGTTGGCCATGGTGATCAAGAACCTACAACCAGAGGCACCAAGCTGGGGAAGGGGGGGACAAACAAAAACAAAAAACAAACAAACAAAAGGGGGGCTTGTTATTTTAATTTCACTTCCCCTCATCTCTCATTCACGACACAAACCAGCTGTTTCAACTGCTGAGAGAAAGGGACAGTTAGTACTGAGTCTGTGTATGCAGATGTGTGCATTTGTGTAAGCAGCGACCGTGTGCGTCACAGCACGGGTGTTTGGAAGCGATCTGCAAATCTGCTTCTTGTGAGTCTACGGGGTCCTGCTCTCGTGCCTTCCTCTCAGAACAGATTCTCTTCAAAAATTGCCATCAGGTCACTCTGGAAATTGATGTCAATGGTGTCTGCCATCTGCGGAGGAACCAGAGGACGAGAAGCAACATGAAAGATAGATTCTAAAAAGAAATTGATAAAATAATTCCCTCCCTCTCCCCCCCCTTTTTGTCTCCCATACCGCCTCTCTCCTGCGCCTCTCCTGCGCCTCACGCCGTGCCGTCGCCCTGTCCTGGTTGAGCGTGTTCTGTGAAGCGGAGGTGGGTGGGGGGGCTTGTGATTGTGTAGGTGGGGCCTGCGGAGAGTGAGTGGGAGGAGTCGAAGCTGGAGGAACTGGAGCGTGCGGCGACTGCTGATTTGGGCGACGGCGGTCGTCATCTGGCACTCGGCGAAACGGCTCCGCCGTGTCCTTGTCGTCACGGCTGCGACAACAAGCAAACAAAAAGTGAGACAGCTGGCAGTCAGCACTGCATGATGCCCATAAATGATTCCCATCAAGGTCACACTCAAATACAACCTAACCAACAGCAGATTCTTTAGTCCAGTTAACTTGAACCTCGTTTTGCATCGAGGGTCACATACAACCCACTTTGATCTTAAGTGAGTGAAACTCGACTTTCTGTCAGTTTAACTACACGTTCAATCCCTGCAATGTCTTAAGACAAGATGAAGCAGTGCAATGTACACTGTCCCATGTTAATAAAATAATATTTTTTATTGATTTTTACTTTTTTCCTTGTACCTTTCGTGCAGCTCATGCTTTGTAGTCGTTTCAGTATTCTGGGAAAACCAACCCAAAACGTAGCAGCTGATTCACAACCGGAGCAACCCACTTTCAAGGTTTCACATCAAAGTGTGAGAGTTCACACTTACTCACAGCTGACTTGTAAGTTTGGCGGAAATGTCTGACATTTACATCAGCTGGCAGGATACTAAGCTGTGTGATACTAAACCATTAAATGAGCAAAAGCAATAAAGTGGTGATGAGCACGATATTTATGACTGTTTAAGTCAAGCTAAATTCTAATAGGATTACAGCTTCTGACGCGTTTCCCTGGTCACACATTACTTGCTAACCTCCCACTCACCGTAGCTTCTCTTGCTCCCTCCTGGCCTGTTCAGCCTGTGCTTTCAGCTGTCTCTCTCTCTCCTCCTTCTCTCTCGCGACCTGCTTGTATCTTTCAAAGCTGTCGCTTGAAGAGCGCACCGAGAACGCCGGTGTGGACTGGGACTTTTGAGCCAGGCTGGCCCAAGAACCCATGTTCTTTATCTTGACCTCCTATAAAAAGAAAAGAAACAAACAGAAAAACCAGGTCAAGTTTAAAAAAAGGCCAAAATGAAGGACAGAAAAAAGAAACCAGGAAGGACAGTCTGGTTTAATGTGGCTTATGAAATTATTCTCTCATCTCAGGCTTCTACACACCTGTGCCTTCTTGGGAGCGATGGGAGTTTTGGGTTCTTGCTTGATTTTGTTGTCCTGCTGGGAGCAGGGTGGTGCAGGCGAGTCTGCCAAATGCGAAATGGGACGAGAGCCATCCATCGGCTTTATATCTAACCCTGTGAGAGACAAAGAAAGAGTAACTCTATATACTACACACTTTAAGCCACGTCGACACTAATTTCCATTTTAAAATCCAACAACCTTTGCGAGCTTTAGCTGGGAAACTTTTATTTGGAATCTCCAGGATTAGTTTGTGGTGTGTTCGTTTGGACAGACATTAGTTCTGAACAGCTGTTAAAATACTTTGCAATGAAAACAACACTTGACTCAATGCTGCTTCCATAAGCTGGCTATAGGGAACTGTGGGAGAATGCATACAAAAGCCTTCTGGATTCGATATATACAGTGGTCCCTTGCTATAATGCGGTTCACCTTTCGTGGCCTCGCTGTTTGCGGATTTATTTATTTTTTGTTTGTAATTTTGCTGTTAACCATGTCAAGTTCACATAAATCTTCGATGGCTAGTAGTGGTGCAACGGATCACGGTTCATCCGTAATCCGAACCGATCCCACTCCACGGTTTGGTACGCACGTGATCCGAAGATTCGAAAAAGAAGAAAAAAAAAGTATGTGTATGGTGCGCATGGTGGGTCTGTCAAGCGATAGTTATGGCCAGCGCTAGCGATCCAAGTGGAGGAGCAGAGGGGTTTGCGGCATTTAAGCAACCCTTTGCTGCCCAATCCGAGCGGGCTAAAGCTATTGGGGTGTTTAGTTGCAGACGGGAGGCCGTATGCCATTGTGCAAAACAAGGGGTTTAAACTATGATCAACGTGCTTGAGCCACACTATGATATCCCGCTCGTGTCCACTTTAGTGCCAAGATCTTTCCAAGCATGTATGAGCGGGAAAAGATTTAGGTTGTGGCTGAACTGTCCCAGGCATCTTCTGTTGCCCTAACTTTGTAGGCGACCGTGGCTCAGGGGATTGGGAAACGTATCTGTAACCGGAAGGTCGCCGGTTCGATCCCCGGGCTCTTTGTCCTGGTCGTTGTGTCCTTGGGCAAGACACTTTACCCTACCGCCTACTGGTGTTGGCCAGAGGGGCCGATGGCGCGATATGGCAGCCTCGCTTCTGTCAGTCTGCCTCAGGGCAGCTGTGGCTACAACTGTAGCTGCCTCCACCAGTGTGTGAATGTGAGAGTGAATGAATAGTGGCATTGTAAAGCGCTTTGGGTGCCTTGAAAAGCGCTATATAAATCCAATCCATTATTATAACTACTACAAATGGGTGGACCTCCACGGCAACGGAAAGCTACGTGACTGTGACAGCTCATTATATCACAGCGGAGTGCGATATAATGAGCGATATGTATTATTGGGTCTACCATACAATAATAAAGCGCCTTGAGGCGACTGTTATTGTGATTTGGCGCTTTATAAATAAAATTGAATTGAATTGAGTGGTAGATACAAAGACTGTACTATTTTGTACCATAATTTCTTTTTAATAATTGCGTGGGATGAGTCTTGAGTTGAATGTTTTTAACAGGAAAAAAATACTTCAATAAGTAAATGTTAAATTTTTGTCTTTTTTTGCTGATCTGAAAATTGATCCGATCCGTGACTTAAAACCGTGATCCGATCCGAACCGTGAGATTTTTGATCCGTTGCACCACTAATGGCTAGCAGTGTCAGTACAAGTGCTGTACTGTATGTTTGCAGGTTTTCTACCCAACAAACACAACAATGTTGACGAAACGTTTTGCACCATCACAGGTACCTCCAGTAGCACCCAAAAGGCAGAGGAAGATGCTAACCATCGCACAAAAAGTAGGACTTCTGGTAGAAGTTACCGTATGTTTCGGACCACAAGGCACACATAAGGTGCATTAAGCAAAACAAAACAGTCAGATAAGTCAAACTTTACTCAACTCATTGTTTTTGCTTCCTCTACCTCCGTACCATTGACTCACTAATGTTGAATTCTCTTGCAGCTGCTCTATTCCCGTGTTCTGGAACTGAAAACAGGGTTTGATCTTTGGTTTCATTCTATAATACTAAACTTGTTTTTCTACGAAAGTTTGAACTTTGAGATTGTTTAAAAGTGTGAAAATGTTCATGCCTGTCTGAAAAAAAGTGTATAAAGTGTGTAGTGAGGGGTTTTACAGCCTTAACACATCTATAATAATTGCAAAAAATAAAACTGGCTACTTCGCGATTTCACCTTTCGTGGGTTATTTTTAGAATGTAACTTGATAAACGAGGGACCGCTGACCAATGAGGTTTGAGCACAACAAAAAAAATGCAAAAAGTTACCTGCAGATAAATGTATGATTCTTTTTATTCACATACGACTGGATTGTAAAACAGACACATACACACTTTTGCACTCACTGTGTTTGTTGTCTGGTTTGTGTGCATCCTGACGAACGCCTGGGCTGAAGGGCGAGGGTGGCAGCACTGGTGACTGGGAAAGCTTCTCTTCTTTGATCCCCATGTTTGACCTCTGCTCCTACACAGGATGAACAACCACTTTTGTCAAATTGCTTCTTTTTAACATTTGAACTGATTATTGTACTTGTTTGTACTCACTCGTTCAAAATATACATTTAAACATAAGATGAGGAGAGGCATTAACTTCCAATCCAGACAGACAAACAGTACAAAGTCAATGCTAAATCACTTACATGCTTCTTGGTCTGTGGAGGCGACTGTTGTCCCATTGAATGGAACGCAGGCATCGGAGGAGAGTGCATCATCAGCGGAGAGGGGCAACCTGCAAAAACATCGGTGTCCCATCATTTAATTAAATGCCTCATTTAATGTGTGCCTACAGTGATTATGTCTAATCGGTACCAAGCATTAGGGTCGACACAACGTGCAGTGATTTGTAACTTTCAAGTATTGTTTTACTGTGCTGTTATGCAACAGGAGCAGCCTCATGTTTTCAGCTGTGACCACAGGTCACATGACAGATGCCTTGCAACATGTAGCAATGTTTTAAAAGACAGAGATTTTGCTCCACACTATGGCCAAGTGCAGATATGACACAATATGTTGGGATAAGTTTTACTTGGTACAGTTCACTGACAAAGACTGCGAATGGGCTGTGGTGAGATCTGTGGTCTAGGTCTGTTTGTGATCTGCTCAGTCTGTCGACAGCAGTGGAGGGAAATTGACTGGAAAGAAGCAGCTGTCAGCAGAGCAGCTATCTGAATGTGTGTGACCATGAGGCATTAAGACACCTTACCTGTTGTGAAAGGCTCCACTTTGCTTTGTGGCGATGGCTGCTGTTGGTGCTGTTGCAGCTGCTGTACCTTCTGCTGCAGCACCCCGCCCTTCTGCTGCGGTGTTGACGTGTGCGTATGTGGGAACGACTGCTGCATGTGCGCTTGGCCTGAGCCGTGTCTCTGCGTCAGAACGGGGGCGGCTGTTGTCATGACCTGCGCATGCAGTGGCGGCCCCAGCTGCACGGGAGAATGCGTGTGCAGCGTTTGCGTGGGGGCTCTGGGCTGAAGTGACTGCAGGAGGCTGTGGACCTGGCTGAGCGGTGGGGTCTCAGAGCTGGTGGGCGTTGGCTCCTCGTCATCCTCCAGCAGGGCTTGGGGAGGCTGCGCCGAGAGGGTGCCCAGGATGCCGTGGGATGGCGGTGACGGGACGCGAGGGCGGGGGACAGGCTGTGGGGGGAGGGTGAGAGGAAGCGAGGGCTGAAGCTGAGGTGAGGAAGCTGGAGGCATTGAAGGGAGGGAGGATGGAGGAGGCTGTGCAGGTTTGGGTGGAAGTGGCGCTGCACGGTTGCTAGGTCTTGATGGTTGCTGGGGAAGAGCATTATGGATTGCTGTAAACATAGGAGAGAAGAATGGGAAAGGCATGAATGTAAAGAACACAGGAAACAGGAGGATGTGTATATCATGAAAGCTCCAGCTCTTCAAGCTTCACCTCTCATTAGACTGAAATATTTCACCATTTCCCTACATATAGATTACAGACATATTAAAAAAAACAAAAAAAACAACACACAACAACCTTGCAAATGTAATTATCTGCTCTTCCTTCCTTGGCTTACTCAAACACTTTAAACTACTAGACACTACGCAATGGCAGCATGTCACTTTGGAATAATTCAGCCATTTATTGTTTTAAAAGAAGCGAGACTGGAGGAGAAGGTAGAGAAGAGGAAACTGCATTAAACAGAGCTGCTGCTGAAGGAGCAGAACTCCAAGAGAAAGAAGAAGAAAGTCCAGACTAGCAAGCGTTGATGTGTGTTTTGAGTAGCTGACATGAGCCTCCAGCTTGAAAACATTTACAGTTAATAGTGTTGCTCAATACAATAAAACCAAAAATACTGCTGCCCCCACTCCTCATTCTCATAGTAGATGATAGTAGATAAATTTAAAAATCCATCGTGATTTTCAGAAAAGTGGACCTCCTTGACCTTGAGGTCGAGGTCACTGAGGTTCGAACTTGTCTAAGATTTTTAGCAGCTGTACCTATGATATCAATTTGAAAATCGTACGTCACCTCATTCTTGAATTATTGTATTCACAAGAGAAGAAAAACACTATGGACAGTTCCAGGAGTTTAGAATCTAAATTTTTATAGCAGTGATTTTACTTACTTTATTTTGACTGACGAAGCAAGCAGTCTGAACAATTAACAATTAACTGTTAAGTTGTAACAGAAGACGGCAGCTGTCTTCTGAATAAATGGAACAGTCATTTTTTGGTGATAAACATATAATTATCTCCAGCTATTAAAAGATGTACTGTCACAATAAAGGAGGCCTATTATGCACACTTCAAGCTATATGCTTTAATTCTTAGAGACTTAAAGAATAACTGGTATAAAATGATCCTCATTTAGTCCACCCTCTGAAACATCCCAATATAATTCCCTTTGCTCTCTCTTTAAGGAAGTTTTGCTCTGATTGGCTGCCCACTGATAACAAAGAGTAGTTGGGTGTAACCTCTTGCTCCACTCTCTGTAACATCAGAGCTAAAAGCATGGGAGAAAAAAGTGCCTTAAACAAATTATTTGAACAGCCTGACAGTCTGAAGCTTTTAGCACGCATGTAGCTCTTGGACAGACACTGAACTCATTACTCCGGAGTTGTGTTTGAGGATGCATCAGTACATAGATGGCCAAAAATACAGGAAAGCATAAAAATCCACCTTTTTTTGGCTCTTGATGAAGTGAATACAGAGTTGTTAGCAGAGTCCTGTTCTGGTGGACGTACCTGGAGAAGGGATGATGGGATGTTGGTTTAGGAAAGGGTGCGTCTCAGAAGGCGTCTGGTTGGTGGGCGCGTTGGTATTGAGGAGGCCAGAGGCAACAGGAGCACTGGCAGTAGTAATGGTTGCATTAGGCTCTGTGTTGGACTGCGTCAGGTGAGAATTCATGAAGTGGGCCAGAGGGTCAAATCCTGAGGCCAATAGCTGGGAGGAATCCAGAGAGGGGACAGGGAGGGAAATAGCTGGAGCCGGGATATATGGTGGTTTGGACTGGACCACCTGAGGCTGTGTCTGAGGTTGAAGCTGAGGCTGAAGCTGAAGCTGTGACTGAAGCTGTGTCTGAAGCTGTGACTGAGGCTGAAGCTGAGGCTGCTGTGGCTGAGAAGTGACTGGGCCCACTCCACTACCGATGAACTGGTGCTGCGGTCTCTTGGTGTCCTTGTTAGTTGAAGTCTTCTTCGGTTGCTTGGGAACCAGCCCTGTACAGACAGCACAATATGAAATAAAGAAATATAACATGTTGAAGACAAAACCTAGGACTCTGCTGGTGCAGACTGCCAGGTGTATATTACCACTGTCAGAGTCTTCACTATCTGAGGAGTCACTGCTGCCTGAAGATGAGGATCCCGTCTTCATCTTTGTCACATTTGGCATTTCCAGAGGCTTCTCTGCTGCAAAAAAGAGCCACAGCATTCAGAGATTAAACAGAATATTGTTCACCTAATCCAATATAACAGAAGCAGCGACACATCTTCCAAAAGAAACTATCAATATGTGAAAGTAAGATTTCACCCAGATAACGTTAACTGGAAAGCATGGGGAACAAAGACTTAAAAACAAGAGCTCGCATGGGAATCTTTGGAATTACGAACCTTATGTGAAAGTGTTTTAAAAAAGGTTCTAAATGTGCAAAAAGCCTACCTGATGGTTTTTTCTTCTTCCTGAGGCAGCTTGAGACATACTTCTCTAGCTCTCTCAGCGTGGAGGGCTTCAGTGTCTCAAAGTCAATCTCAATCTCATCCGGATTGGAGTTTTTCAGCGACGGCTCACGGGTTTGGATTATGTGCACGACACGGCCCAGCTTGTCTCCGGGCAACTTATTGATATCCAGGCTCAGCTGGCGCTTCTCCTCATACGACATTGGCTTGCACCTGTCAGCAGACATGTCTGGAGGAGGACGCATTACAATAGGTTTACAATAGTCCCAGGCATGCATATCAACAAAACTCAATCATATGTTCTTTAATTAACGCACCGATGTCAACATCTTCAAGAGAAGCCGAAGGGACGAGAGGGGTCGGCCCAGGCTGAGGGGGCACAGCAGGCCGGGGATTTTTAACTCCTTCTTTTTTACTGTAAATGAGAAGTTCTTAGATGAGCTCCATGCAGTGCAGGTACAATAACCTGAGTTTTACGTCTGGAAAACCTACCTGGGCTTTTTCCTGTCTTTCTTTGCACTGATAGGTTCTTTACTACTTTTGCTTTTCTTAGATGCCTGAAGCATTGCAAGCGGGAGAGTCTCCAAAGGTTCCTCTGCTCCCACTTTTTTCTTGTGCTTTTCTTTCTTCTTTTCCTTCTTCTCCCTCTCTTTCTTCTTGGGCTTGCTGACCTGTGGCTGGGAGAGCGCTGCCAGCTGCTCATGAACAGCTTTAAGCTGAAACACACACACACACACACACACACACACACACACACACACACACATTTGTGTGTTAAAGAGATGATAAGGCTCTGCACATTTGATTCTCCAGCATTCAGCCATGTTTTACTCAGACCATTCTACACGGCCAACCCAACTCTTGTGTCTAATTAGCCAACCTCCCCTTAACTTTCCCTCATCTAACCTGTTCCTGTAACTCAGCTAAACGCTGTTTCCTTTCTTGTTCCGAGTCTCCTCCTGAAGACTCTGATTCTGAGGAGCTTGAGCTCTCATCTTCCGAGGCGGCAGAAGGAGGTGGGACTTGTCGAGTGGAGGGGGCAGGGTGGAGAGCTGATGACGGGGTGGGAACAGGGACTGGCTCCTCTGGGTCATCGGGCATTTTGGCGAAACGCATCTCAAACACGTCCTGTAAGATTGAAGGACAGCAAGAAAAGCTGTCAGTTCGAGTGGAGCAACAGACACGTTCAGATACTGTGCTATTTGGTGAACTGGCCCTTTACGGGTTCAAATCTCTATTTTAGAAGCTCTTCTAAAACTGTTAAATCACACTAGCTTTTTATGCTGTACACCATAGACTTTTTTTTTTTTAACCCTCTACGTGAATTTCTTCCATTTCTTTGTCGCAGAAGGTCAGCAGCTCAAACACAAGGCAAGCTTTATCAGATATGTAACTGCAATAGAGGATGCAACATGTAATATGTAAGCAGCCTATGAATAAGAGAAGAGCTGACTGCTGGAAGTCATCGAGGTTGTACTCGAGTTTGTGCTGCTTAATTAACTGCTGTGCATGCTAGGGCTGTTCGATATAACGATATATATCGGCTGACGATATAAAAACTATCGTTTCATTTTACGCTATCGTTTGTTTCGTGGTGTCGCAAAATAAACTGTTTACGGCAATATTTTTTCATGGTTTTGATGTCACTGTAGTGGCTATATTAATTTCTTAAAGTTCTCTCTTTCTCTTATACTTAATATAACCACACTATGTACAGACAAGCGCCTGTTTTTATGCCTTGTGGTTAGCAACAACGACGGTAAAACCATCGCGTGTCCGCTTGTTTATGTTCCACATAAACCTTTCACAATAAAGCTCAAGATCCTGTTGAGACTTTTCAAAATAAACTGAATCACGTGAAAAAGTATGCAGAGTGTTTACGGATGAGAAGCAAAAAAGAGCCGCCGGGTGTTAAAAAAATAAACCTTAGACTCAAACGTTAGAACAGGCTTTTCCCCGCAGCACGCCGTGTAATAAATACTCACAAAGAAAACGGCGGCCGTTACAACCTGTCTAAAAATGTGTAGTTTCATGCATCGGTTAAAACACTCGACTCCAGCTACACGACGCCCAGCTGGAAACACTTCAGCTACCCGAGATTCACAGAATTTACAGAAAATGTTAAATTTTTGTGATTTATATCGTTATTGGGTAGATGTTTAATATCGGGATATGAGATTTTGGTCATATCGCACAGCCCTAGTGCATGCTCTTTTTCTCTCACTTTACTTTGGTGCTGACTTAAAAGTTTTCTACATAAGAAAAACTACTCTGTAACCTACAGCAGTCATCAATCAACACCAGCTTGATAGATGCTGCAAAGGTGTACTGCTTTACAAAGAAAACAATCCTGCAATCATCCACTTGGGTTCTGCAATGATCTTCAGGCCTGAATTTAGCCAATCCCAAAATCTCTGCTGTCTCACTGATAGGTCATCTCTGACTTTCTTTTTTCCAGCTTAATGTTTATGCTTTAACTTAAAAGTCTTTTACTTACACCAAAACCTCTTTGTTACACATATCAAGAGTTCAGATCAGCAGCTACAAAATGCAAATCAAACACATGGAATAAACAATAAGACGTTAAAACTCATTAAGATGTCATGATATAACGAGGAAATTGTCCACATCCACACACTGCAAAGCATGTCACCTAACAATCAAACCTTTGCACAATAAGATCAAAATTGTGTGGGCACAGAAGGTTATGAACTTTATGTGATTGTTCAAAACTTTTCTATGAGATTTTGGTAAGAGCTTTTTTTCAAATTTAGAGGGCGGTCTAAAGACTTTTGCACATATAGGTTATATAATGTAGGTTACGGTTTGCAGTGTGTGAAATGTGTGGTTTACCTGTAATTTGCGTGCCATGGCAACCACATCGTGGTCTGGAGGGTTGTATTTGTAACAGTTCGAGAACATCAACCTGACGTCTGCTGCAAATTCTTGAGCATCTCTGTACTGTCTGTTGTCCAGCTTTTTCTGGAGGGGATTAAAAAAACAAAACGGTAGCGATCAAAATTCTGCAAATTTAAAGACACACGAGACATGCACGTTGGCAATTTAAAAGTTGACTTATCAAGCTGAAGCTTAGCTATTTATTTGGTATTACCTAGTTTACATCCTCTTGATTATTATTCACTGTCTGACGTTTGTGTGGCTCATTAGTTGTTTAAATGTTTGTGGTAAAAAGATTAAATAAAAGCAAACTAAACAAAGAAATCCAGCAAAATGTCAAAAAGCTTTGGTATCAAGAGCAAATTTTATCACAGGCAGACTCAGGCTGAAACCTTCCTAACTATAAAAACAGGTTTGTACATGTTGTAATAAAATCACCTTGATGGTGCTGAGATCCATGGGATGCTTGATGATTTCATGGTAGTCGTGGAGACCGAGAGCTTTTGCATCAACAGGTTTGTAAAAAGGCCAGGCATATGCCACGTGTTTCTTAGACAGCATCTCTCTGACGAGGCGTGCACACCAACGTAACTGCTCCTGGCGCTTCGGTGTTCCTGACCCTCCCATCTCCAAGACTCCTCCAAGTTGATGCTGAGAGTCTGGCTGTGATGCTTCTCTTTTGGGCTGCTTTGATGGGCGGCTGCTGTCTCTGCGCGGCCGGTTCTCGGCAGAAATGGGAGACGATTCACTGAGCTGATCGTTGGCGGTGGGTGTCGTGGTATCAGCTTTCCTCTTCTGGCTCTTCTTCTGCTGTTGGAACAGAAGAGTTTAGAGGTCACAGTCTGGAAAAAAAAACAAAAAAAACACATCAGCAAGTGTCTTTGTAACAATAGATGTTGTCTTACCTTGATGAGAGCAGGCGAACTTTGCAGTATGGGGGCAGTAGGATGGAGGCCTGGGTGAGTCACAGTCGGAGGTGGAACTGAAGTCATTCCCTGGGCCAGGACGTCTGAAGTGGTGAGGGAGAATGGAGGCCCCAGATGGGGCGCATGGTTTGTGGTTGTTGGAGGCACACGGGGAAGGTGAGGTTGGGCTAGACTCTGGGCCAGAGTCTGGACCAGAGGCTGGGCCAAGGGCTGAGCCAGGGGCTGGACCAGAGGTTGGACCAGAGGTTGGACCAGAGGCTGGACCAGAGGTTGGACCAGAGGTTGGACCAGAGGCTGGACCAGAGGCTGGACCAGAGGCTGGACCAGCACCTGGTCCAACCTCAGGGGTAAGGCAGGAGAACCTTGGGGGGCGGGTGCAGCACGGGTATGTGGAGTGGTTGAAGGGGACGAAAAGCCTCGTGTATGCGGGGTGGTAGAGGGGGATGATGAGTCATGTCCTGAATCTGATTTTGAAATCAGACCTAGAAGGAAGAACACGAGAGCAGCACAAAGACAAAACTTTAGCATAGCTAAACATTAGGTCAACAGGTTTAAAGCAGATCACCAACAGGCATGACATAACCAAAACCTGATTTCCCAATAAAAGTTCCATATGAGGTGTGGCTGATTTAGTGGGTGGCGGAGAGCAGACAACAATGAAACCAAACATACCAGCTGAGCTGGCTAGATTAGCAGCATTTGCATATCACTGCTGGTGACGCATGGAAACTCTTCCATGAAGTCTTAAGTGTACACCAGGAAGTAGAATCACATCCTCTGGCATAAAGTTGGAGTACCAATTCTACTGAGGGAAAGCAGCAAGAAGAATTCTTCTGCTTCACAGAAAAACAAATGAACGATGCTAAAATAATACCTGTGTCCTGCCTGCCTCCTCTGCGTCCCTTTGTAACCACAGCAATCTCAGTCTCCTCCTGCGGCATCTCTGTAATCTTCTGGAGAAAGAGCTTTTCCAAGGCTTCTGCCATTAGGACAATATCATCCCCGGGCTAAACACACAAACAGATGAAAACCGCAGAGCACATTAGCCACAATCCACGTCTCTTAATGTCGCTGAGCAGGGCAGTCGCATGTGTGCGGAACTTCTAATGTGGCTGACCTTGTTGTAGATGTAGCAGTTTGTGAACATGGTGTTAAAGTCTTGGATACACTCCTGGGCATTCCAGTAGTAGTTGTTCTCCAGGCGTTTTTTAATCGTGCCCATGTCCATAGGATTCTTTATGATCTTATAATAGTCCTTAAAGAAGAGCAGGGAAACAAGTATTAGTATTTTAGCTAGACAGAAGAATAATTAAGAGAGTTGAAAGAAAACATTAGAATTAAAAGCTCATCCAGTTCCTCAAGGGAATGACATTCATAAGAAAACTGGCTATTCCCTGCACAAGTTTAAATACTATGCTAATAGGATCCTAAAGAATTATATTTACCATGTAAAGTAACTCAGGAAAGCTGCTCAGGATTATAGACTGAACTCAGTTTATGGGTTACTGAATAGACAAAAGGCTAGTGAAATTCCATTCTCAAGCCCGGCGCTCAGCATTTTCCTTGTCACCATCTTTGTGTTTTGAATTTGGATAATCCTCCTTTCCGACTCTCATAATGACTATTTACTGAATGAATGTGAAACTAGTGAAATAGCCCACAAAATTATCAGAGGTCAAAGATTAAGGGAGCCGAGCACCATTTTCCAAATACATTTTTAAAGACTTTGGAATCTTTTTTGCATTCATTTTAATGGACATTAAAGAAACTCTAGGTTTAAAGCACTTCTGTTTTCATACATAGAAGACATCCCTTTATTTTCTTTGAATATTCCTCCAAAAATGACCTCCCATCTTTTTTTTTTTCTCCAAACCAATTTTCCTTGATTTCAATGGAAAATATCTTGAGTTCAGGGAAAGGTTTTCAGGAAAACTAATATGAACTTACTGCCATATTAAAACTACAACATTCAGAAGATGGACTAAAAAATTGTTACAATAATCTGAATTATCCTGTTGCAGGTCATGTAAACCTCACTGAGCTTCACTGAGTGAATGGGTAAATGCAGAGAGGAATTTCCCCACGGGGATCAATAAAGTATACGTTATTATTATTATAAACAACAACAAAAACAACAACAACAGATGAAAAATATCACTTCATTACAAAAGTCTCAATTTTTAAGAAAAAAAAGGAACGCAGGTCAGAGCGGAGCCCTACATAAACCTGCTTCTCAGTAATACCACTGTTACTGAGGACAACTGAACTTCTCTCTGCTTGGATCTGTTACAAACTAATATCTATCAATATACAACTACTTATGAAACAGTGAATGTGTTTTTAAACATACTGTGTCTAACTGTACTTACTGTGAAGTATCACAACAAAACAAAATAACCCAGACTGATGTGTGCTTTTAGGTATGTGGCACAGTAACAGTGTCTTAATTAAGAAATCAGAGGCTCAAGATTTGGAGGTAAATCAAGTTTTGTAGTCTTCTGCACATGGCACGGGTCAGCTGTTACTCACAGATTTCACGTTTATATTGTGAAATAGTTCATAATGAGATGGAGGCTTGATCCAGCTCAATCCTGCACTCCACCTGAGTCTCAGTCACAATGTCACACAGTCAGTTTCTGACAGTTTCTATCAGCTACCCTTGGATCAAAAACAGAACGATCCTCCTTCGGCTGCCTGTCATTGATCTGAACTGCTGAACAGATCTGTGCTTACCCTGTAATACGCTTCTCATTAGTACATTACTCAGTCCTTCATGGTGTCTGCTGCTTCTTGAGCCTCTAATTTGTGCTTTTCTTGACAGAATTTTGGTTGCTATTGAAATAAACTGGCTGCTTCTTTGTATCTAAATCACTGCACTGTTAGTAGATCACCCTCCAATCACAGCACATAATTTAACAACAGCAAAAACAGCAGTCACAGCCCTACATGCATCCTTAACATCCTCCCTCTGAAAAACCAACACCTGCAGCAAAAAGTCAGTGCCAAGACTAAAGGTACTACCTTGTGTGTCTCCTTGGTAACCATAACTAGAAGACCACAGAAGACTGCAGGAGAGTTTTTTTTCCCTACTTAACTGAAATAGTCAATGTGACGTGTCGCAAAGTGTCAAATGAGGAAATGCAGAAAAGAAAAACACACTTTCTGAAAAGCAGAAAAGGCAGCGACATGTTTTACTGCAGGGTGCCACCATCACCGGGTCCTACTGTGTGAAACTTTGCATATGGAATTCATTTACTAGTTGTTACAGAGCTATCTTTGTGCTCAACTCTTATTGCACACACACACTGAAACAAACACACACACGTGACTCACAGGCAAATTGAGTTTGATGGCATCTACAGGAGCCTGGAAGGGCCAGGCAAAATTGTGTTTCCATAATGTCTTCAATACCACTTTTTGCAAGTACTGAAAAAGAGCAAAAACAAAAAAATTATTATACACACATTAAATAAGTGAAACTGACATTTTACTAGCAGACATGGTTCACAAATCAACGTCCTACTACCTGCAGCTGGTTGGTCTGTCGTTTGGGTCTGGAGGGGTTCCATGTTTCGGGGGGTGGAGGGTTGAAGGGGATAGGCGGTGGGGCGGAGGGAGGGTTCTGGCTGCTGCCTGCCTCCAGTCCGTCCCCCATCGCAGAGGTGGGCTGCAGTGGCTGAGCAGACACTTTAGGCAGATTGGACCTGGCAGGGGCAGGTGGGACCGGGGGGAACCCCTTCAGGCCATTCCACTCCTCACGTGACTCTCTGAAAGAACCACAGAGGAAAACATTATCTCTGCAGCCGTTATGAGAATTTTGACATGACTTTCTCAGAATGTATCTCACATTTAGCATTACTGCCACACGTTGAATCTGAACTCCTATCACCCCACTATCTAGATCAGACCACTTTTTACACGTTCTGTCTCAATTATCTGTCTCACGACTAGGGATGGGTACCGGTAATGGCACCGGTTCTGACATAAACGGTAGTAACCAGACCGAAAAGCAGCGCAGATGTCGGTGCTTTTTTTCCTGAGATGTCATACACTTTAGATTCTAGCCAATCGTTTGGCGTACCTGGGCCCGCCTTTCAGAGGATAGTAGGCGGGCCCAGGTACGTTCGTTCTTTTAGAGCAGAGCTACAGAATAAAAAGTCTGGCTGTACTTCACAGCAAAAGATGCAAACTCAGCAGCCTGCAACAAGTGCTTTAAGCTGATACTGTGCAGGAGGTAACTCCTCGAATCTGATGAAACACCTGGCGACGTATAGCATTTTGTTAAAAGCCGAGAAATGCGCTGTATTTGATAGCTTGCTGCGAGACCTCACACCGTGCACATCTACTGCAGAAGTGGTGCCTGTTATCGGACCCAGAGTTAGCAACATCCCCCAAAAACCCAAAGAGGAGAGTCCTGGCCCCTAGCCCTGCCAGTGTAGCACAAATGATGACGGATGATGATGGCAGCAGCAGCCGTTCTTCTCTGCGTGAGTAGCTTAATGTTGTTCGTGTGTAACCACGTTATTACATTAATGCATGTAAGGTGAACTAGCAAACACCGTCGTAGTTACATGCGGCTGTCCTCTTGTTTGATGGCAGATACTCCCTTCACCCTGGCCAAAAAGGCTAAAATGACCAAAGAAAAAGTGGGAAACAGCTAAACATGAGAGGTTTTTAGACAAAATTGGTGTTTTTTTCCATTGTTTAAGCACTGCTTCTAGCCAAGAGTGATACCATAAATCCCCTATAGCTGCAGAAAAGGCCAACATTGTTATCTTTTTACAAAAAACAAACAAACAGCTGAACATGAGAGGTTTTTGGACAAAGTGTGTGTTCTCCATTCTTTAAGCACCGGTTCGAGCACTGTTTAAGCACCGGCACCGTTTCAAAAGTACCGGTTTGGTGCTGGTATCGGATAAAACCTAAACGATACCCATCCCTACTCACGACCACAACCCAGTGTGAGCATTTTCTTCTACAGTACATCGCCAAAGGTCTCTGCGTGAGAACGAGAGGCAACTTGGCAAAGGGTCAATCTTTTTCACCCCGCTCAAGAAAACAATAAAGATCTCATCTTTGACACATTCACTGCTCTTTAAGCTGTGGCTCAAACTCAGTATCTGATTTTGTCATCATGTGCTTGAAACTACTGCACGAAAACTGGGATCAGGCACTGAGGACTCAACGTGTGTTTATGTGCACAAACAAAAAGCATGCATTCCACATCAACATCAAACTCTTAGTTTAAAGCATCTGGGAATAAATATTGAATCATTGCTTAAGATCAAATACCGTTATGACTGTTAACCTGCAAAGTTTCTGATCCATCAAATGGAAGCAGAAGTGTAAACACATTACATGCTTCACCAGCTATAAAATATCCACAAACAATGCAGAGCATTTACTTGTCCTAAAAGCACAAAGACTACAAAACAAATCCATAGCTTGGAGTATTTTTTTTTTAAATCAATCATGCATTTGTAATTTAGGCAAAACAACAAAAATGCACTAATATTTACAGAAGGAATTGACTGAACAGCTCAACAGGATGAGGCAGAACTTCAAATGCATACCTTATCTAAGACTCAGGTTTTGTTAGTAATATCAGAAATTTTGTAATATTAATAATAACTATACACAAGGCAAGATAAAACTGGGGTTCAGGTTTAAGAATGGCTTGGTAAAGTCTGATTGATGGAAAAGTTTTATGATAATGGCGACTTTTTAAAAGCTGAAAATACAATGCAAGTGTATTTACTTTCTAATCACAGATGAAAAACAAACAAACAAACTGGTAATTATCTTGCAGAAAAAACTCATCATTAAACTCTCTCAACTCAAAGGCCAATTATTTTTGGTGGACTTACATGTTTGTAGCTGTGCAGCTGTGGTCTAAAGCAGTTGTGTGATCATATCTCAGTTGGGGAGGTGGCAACTTCCCAGGGTGATGTGGGATGTTTGTTAGTGACACGCTGCGGCAGCACAAAAACCACAACACACAGAGAGTCGAGTGTCACACCTGTGAGAGACCGAGATAACAAATTGAATTAGAGTCAATTTATGTAGTTTGTTGGATTTTGTTCGTGCAAACTGCCCTTTTTCAAAATTGAAACTGTCACAATAGAAAACAACACTTCCACATCACAAAACACAGAATTGAAAGCCCTCATCTGGATGATACAGGCACATTACTCTTCTTTATCCCAGTCAACATCTAGTACATGGAGCAGTTTGCAACAATAACTCAGGATTTCGGGGAGGGGGGCGTCCTATATATGCATGTTTTCATAGGTCTTTTGTGCTACTGTTTATGTACAGCAAACTTAGAACAAATTAGGTGACAGGAGCTAATATGGTACTCTTTTGCATTAAAACTGAACTCTGCCTGACCTACAACCTTGGCATGCTTCAGATGACCTTTGGTACCCCCTGAGATCAAAGGTCAAAGGAATTTCTGAGTGAGACAAAATGAATGAATCAGAGACAACAGCTAACATTTAGTTTGTTATCACCCTGACAGTTTCTTCTACTAAAGACCAAAAGCTTTATTTACATCTCTTTCTATGCCTGTTACCCGTTACAGATCCATATTCCAGCTACAGATCCGTCATTAGTTAAAAAAAACAAAAACAAACAAACATTAAATAAGTGAATAATTGTTCCCTACATTTACCAGTTAAGTGGATTGGATGTTGATAACTACCTTATCAATGAATATAGACGTGTAATATATGCATAATAATTCTAACTGGGCAGCAATTAGCACTGCAGCGAGTGCTTGAGACAAAATAAATAAATATTGCGGGAAAATACACGAAAGACCAAGTCATTCTCCAAACTACGTAACTGCATAGAACTACACACAACATACACAGCACGTTAAGAACGCAGCAGTGTCGCAGGTAATCTGATCAACAACAAATCAAATATTCTATCGATAAAGCCACTAGACGTAACGATACTGCGAAATGTATCACATACTGCTACTACTTAGTATCTACCGGTAACCGGATCATAAAAACGACCCAATTTGTTGCAAAACAACTTTACTCCTCAGCTTTTCCTTTGCTAACCTTCCATGTCGGCGCATCGCCATTTCCACTATGCTCAAGTGACAGCTGCGCACGTAAACTGCGTTTCAGAATACAACTTTGACGGGATTGATATTCTCGAAATGACGTACGTCACATTTCACATGAGCTTCTGCGCCATAGCGCCTTTACTACGCTACCAAGAGAACGTAACTTGTGTCACGAATACGGCCTACGGGGCTACAAACAAACAGCCTAGCAGCTAGCTCGCTAGCATGTTAGCGACATGTAGCTAACGTGCACACTGACAACAGACAGCGCCCGCTGCTACAAAAACGACCTTTACGCGAGCGTTAAAAGGAGAAAGACACAACGCAGAATATGTACAACAACACCAAGTCGCTCGCGCCTAAAAGCTAAAAAAATGAGCTGTATCGCGTGCCCGAACCGGTGCAAGGCCTTGCGAAGACAGCTCATGCTCCGCTTCCCGAAGCGCTCACTGAGCGCGCGGGAAATATGCCACCGATGCCCGCTGTAAGGGTTTTATCTGATCCCCGGGGTCGTAAGCTTTCGTTTGATGTACGAACGTAAGCCACACGAAGGCGAAAAATGATATTTTTACCTTCTTCAGTCGTTTGTCAGCGTTCACAGTCCTTCCTCGCCCCAAATCCAGAACAAACAGTCCCGTTTCACGTCAATGACGTCAGACGCACGGGGGGCAGGCCAACAAATGTCACCTACAACTCCTCCCCTCTCTCCTGGGTTAACATCACGCAATAGCTTGTAATCATTTCAGTCAGGAGACAGGTCGGTGTTCACTTTACTAAACGAGTGGGTCTAAATATATAACCGAGTAAAAAGTGCGCGTACACTAAAACCTGTTTTTAGTTAGTAGAAAACAAGCTGACAGCTTAAATGTGCACGGCACGGACGGCACGTAGGCCACCGAGCTGACATCTGTTTCCTCTGTAAATACGTTTTCTACAAACTATAGAGAACACAACGGAAGTTAAAAGCATTTCTAAAACTTGACAATTTGTTATACAGCTTATCGACCTACTGCAAATAACCTTTTATTGCCCGATTTGATCTCAGGCCCGTGTGCGCACGGTTGTTGTGCGTAATTAGATGTTTAGATCTTGATGGGAGCGGGGTCTTCCAGATGTAATGCTGTGTGAGTGGCATGAGGGCTCATTCTACTGTTTGGTAAGTGTGAAAGTCATGAAGATGTCAATCCAGCTGAATACTGATGGATATAATGGCGGTAAATTGTGCTTTTCTGCCTTTTCCTGTGTCCTAGAAGATATTGTACCACTCATGTTTATGAAAACTGTTATCAGTGCTTGGGTAGGAGGGAGTAGGTACACCACCTAGTGGTTGGGATGGTGTTAAATTAAAGCACAGTATCAAAACAACCTCTGCAACAGGTTATCAGAATTGTGGTCAACAGTCTGCATCAAAATGTGCAAAATTAGCAGTGAATATGTACACATCACAAATGTGATAAGTCTGGTTGCTAGATGATTTGCTTTTGATACCCTGCTCAGTTTACGTTAAAGGTCTACACATGCAGTCCTTCTCCAATTCAAACTTACTGGCCACTTCATTAAGTATGTTTGTTCACCAGCTTGTTAACACAAATATCTCAACTAACCATATGGCAATATCTCAGTGCATTTGGGCATGTAGACATGGCCAAGACGACCTGCTGAAATCCAGACTTCAGTGACTTTAAACGTGGAAGGGTTGTTAATGCTAGATGGGCATTGCTGATGGTCTGGATTTTCCCGCACAGCCATCTCGAGAGTTTACAAAGGATGCTCTGAAACAGAAAATATCCAGCGAGTGGCAGCTCTCTGTGAAAAACTGCCTTGTTGAGGTTAGATGTTTACGGCATGTGCAGAAGAGCATCTCTGAATGTGTAACATGTTAAATGTTGAACTACACTAGCAGCACTAACTTGTACACATCTTTCTTGTGTAAATGTAAATGCCTGTGTTATTATGTATTACACACAACGGAGAGATCGCAAACTGTGTTTCATTGTTCTTATAATAAAGACATGTAGAAAAAGAGAGCGATTCTTTTCTATTCAGAAGACCACACCAGATGCAACTCCTGTCAACTAAGAACAGGAAACTGAGGTCACAGTTTGCACAGGATAAATCAACAAGACTGGAAAAATATTGTTGGTCTGATGAGCGGATTGCTGCTGTGATATTTCGACAGGCTCGGAGTTTGGTGTAAACCACATGAAAGCACAGATCCATCCTGCCTTCTCTCGATGCTTCAGGAGGCTGGTGGCATTATAGTGTTAGGGTAATTTTTTTTGGCACACTTTCTCAAACATAATAATGAGCTCTCTGTACTCAAATCACCTCAACCGTCACCATATCTCAATCCAATAGAGCACCTTAGGGCTGTGATGTAACAGGAGATTCAGCTGTCATCATCATTATGAATCAAAAATCCATGAGCAGCGTTTCCAGCACCTCGTTGAATCGATGCCAAAGTAGTAAAGGCACCTTTTAAGCAGCCACTGAGTTAATTTCACTTGTATTTAGGAATTAACACAAAGAAACTGATTTAGTCAACGAGTTTATTTCTTTCCCAGACCGAGATGAAACTAAAATGACTGAAAATATTCCGAATGATATTCAAAATGTTGCACGCTTATCCTACAAACAGTCCCCTCAATCATCTCAGGCAGCCCCACCTGCAGAGTTAAAAAGCCCTCCTCCTAATAGATTTATCCAAAAGCTTGGAAAACAGTCATTCATCAATACTGGGAAAGGCCTGAAAGCCATAACAATGTGTAAACTCTGGACCCCCCCCCAAAAAAGTACACAATATATCTCAATGTTACAATAGCCGCAATTTCTTAATTCTAAACAACTTACATTTTAACAAAAAGGCACAACAACAACAACAAAAAAAATTACTTTGACGTTTTCATAAATATGCTCATGTGTCTTCTTGCCAATGTTGAAATGAAAAGTCCAACAATGCCTCTCATGTCTGCACAGAGTACAAAGCTCCTGGGAACAGATCAGTTCAGCATTGAGACTGAGGAAGGGTAAACCACACGTCCGGTCTACTCTCATATTTAAAACGAAGTCTACCCCTAACTTTGTATGCATGCAGAAGACAAGAGTTACTATTTTTGACATTTGCTTTCATGTAAATCTCTGCAAGAAAGTGAAGAAGAAGAGCAGTAGACAAAATGTGCAACTGCTTTTTATCAAACTCAAACAACAAGCTCAGACTGACAGTGAAACATGACGGGAGCAGGTATATGTAATCCACAATACATGTGGCAGTCAAACTGGACAGTACAGGTCATAGACTGGTCCAAACAGATGTTCAGATGGAAAGGTTACTCTCTCACTCTCTCTCTCACACAGAGCAGAAATCATTCATGATCATTGGCATCTTCCTCTTCGTGCACTGCTGCCTCCAATCCTTCATCTCCCAAGTCACCGTGTAATCCCTCTTCACCAATCTCATCATGAACCACATATCCCTCATCCTCTTCCTCCCCAATTTCAAAACCTTCCTCTTCATCCTGGTTCTCCTCATTCTGGTTCCCCTGCTCCTCCTCCATCTTTTGCTCCTCCTCCATCTTTTCCTCCCCCTCTTCTTCAGTGCCTGCTACTGCTGCTTCTTCTGATGCTGCTGCTTCTTCTGATGCTGCTGCTGCTTCTGATGCTGCTGCTGCTTCTGCTGCTTCAGCAGTCTCTCCTGCTTCTCCTTCGACCACCTCTTTGCTAATCTCCCCCTCAGGAGCAGGCTCATCTTTGGCAGGTTCTCCTTCCGCCTGGCTCTCTGCCGCTTCGCCTGTGACCTCCAACTCAGATACGTCCATTGCCATGCTGTCTTCTGGATCCTGTTCATCTTGGTTACCAGTGAACGGGTTCTCACCCTGACGAAATAAAAGAATTGAGAAAAATAATGACATTTTGACCCACTGCACTCATGGTCAGTTATGCATGTTTGGATCAGACAGTTTCTGCACACTACAACCCATACAGCTGATGCAAACCTCCAAAGTGTTATGTTATTAATCAGATTTTTTCCAAGTATAAGTTCCCTTTTTTCTTAACAGTGCATTTACTGACACGACCGGTCTTTTGTTCTTTGTGTTTACAAATAAATAAATAAATATATACATACAAGTAGTTGGTGCATATTTATAATCACATTTATTTCTGTGATGCAAGCCCACACAGGACTCTGTGCATACCTTGAGGTAGCTCTCCAGCTTCTTGCCAATGAGTTTGTGGTTAAGGATGCTTCGAGCAACCGACAGACTGGCCCGCTTGGACTGCTCCATCATACCCTTCAAATAAACAACATTTCCATGTCAGAACAAAACATCGTAAACAATAGCCTCAGCTCTGTGGCACCATTTGTAACATTAGTGCAGGACTTCGCAGAGTTACTGCATTTGAGAAAAAAAAAAAAAAAGGCACTGCACAAACGAAGTGGATGGGACAAACTGTTACCCCATCCTCTGACAGTCTGAAGTTGTAAATGTTTTCTGATAAGGCAGAATCAATATTAGCCAACCTCTGACCTTCAGTGCTTCAGTGAAAAGGTCAGCAGCAATGTCTCTACAGAAATCAGGACCCAGTTTCACGCAGCCTACAAACATTGCTGTGTAAGCAGCTTCATATACAAATCATTTTCTTCTACTGTCTACATCTGCCAATTAAATGAAACACATTCTGCAGAATGACAGGACGGTGTAGTTGGAAGAAAACAGTTACTACATGAAACTGGTCACAACAACATTTGTGGACTTTCTCAATGATGCTGAAATTATTATTATTTTTGGATGCACTGCGTGCTATTTAGATCCATTTATACCGCCGATATCTCCAGAACCAGACAAGCCACACCAAAATAATAACGATGATACCCGAAGGACGGCGATAAAAATAAAAGGGCACTGATTTGAATGTAGTATTGTCCTTTTAAACATATAGGCTTGTGGGGCAGTCCATTTGCAGAAGACCTGCTGTACCTTGCGGTTGTAGTTGTGGTCAGGAGACTTGATGTGTTTCTGTATCAGGTGGGGCTGCATGGGAATGAAAAGGTCACATGCTGCACAGTGAGCAGCTTCCACCTTCCTCATAAAGTGCTCCATTCCAAGCTCTGTACAAGCGTGAGAGAAATATCTGTAGTGAGCAATCCATGCGCATCTTCAGTTCAACACACAGCAGGAGTTTCTGCTTACCCCTGGTGAGGTCCTGCTCTTTGTACACCTGGCAGATTGCAGCACTGTGGTTCTCCAGCTGGCTCACCCTCTCCTCTGTCTTCTTAAACTTATTCTGCAAATACTCCTACAAACGAAAGGTTTTTTTTCAGTTTACAGTTCATGAAACGTTTACCTCGCCCAATATCTTTACTCTTGCATACATGTATAAATCACGCGTCGGCTCTGGAAGATCACTGCATAAATATTTCAGCAGATTCAACCAGAAGTGTTTTTCCATTTAACCACACTCCAAATTGTTTTAGTATATTTACAACAAGCACTTCCCTGAAATTTGGCTCAGAAATGTAACATTTCTAAAAGCCTATGATTGGCAAGTTTCTTCAGTTTCGGTTCTTCATTAATCATAAATATGACTTCCAATAAATTTGAGTTACCTGCAAAAAGTCTGTAGTGGGCTTGGACAACTGGCTGGAAAGGAACTTAAAGTGGTCTTTGTGGAAGCGACTCTCAAGATGAGCCTCCATTTCTTCCTTGTAGAACGAACGGAACTTGCACACAGAACATGCAAACATCACCCTGGAAAAATATTTAAAGTCTTAGTGAAAAAAGCCCATCAGAAAGAGCCACAGGTGAGATTGAAAACAAAAACAGCAAATGAGAGTTGAAAGAACTTTCTAGGAGTTTGTAAATTCACCTTTCCAGGAATCCTCGTCTCTTCCTCATTTTTGGGTGTCTGTCCTGACCCTGGGCCGGTGTCTGTTTGCCCTGTGGCTTTTTCTTCTCTTCCAGTTTGGATGCAGCTAATCAGGAGCAAAAGTGCAGAAGACGCGTATATGAACAACCCCAATCAAAAAACAAAAACAAAAACAAAAAAAACCCCCCACAAAAAAACAAAAACAGAGACAGTGTAAATTGTAAATAAATTATTTAACTGTATAGAAATAATTAAAGAAATAATGAAACACAATATCAAAAGATTCAGAGAATCTGGAGAAACCTCTATACGCAAAGAAAAAACCCAAAAACCAATGCTGGGTTTCCACCATCTTCAGTTAACCCAAAATAAAAAAAACAGAATGTCAGTGAGGAGTCACTGGAGTTAAGCTTACCTTTATCACCTTCTTCAGCAGGTTTGGTCTCCTGCAAAGAAAAATATTCATTACTCAAAGAAATAAAAAAAAATTAAAAAAGAAGTCAAAAATAGCTCCATCATCTGAACTTAACAGATGTGTATTGCTGGATGTAGCCATGCTGTCATAAATATTTGCAACACATATTCAACTCAAATCTGTGACATTGTTTGATCATGAAGGAAAAAAAGAACATCGCGTTTAGCCTTTTTGTCTGTTTTGTAAAACCTCCTCATCCTCATTTACATTTAAATTATTATTTCCATCTGAAACTGTACACCGGTTGCTTAAAGCAATTTCCTGGGACAAGTTAATTAGATCCTAAAGTAATACAATAAACCTTTAAAATGCCACTGTTGACAAAAGGCTGATCCACTAACCGCAGCAGCTGTTGTCTTTGGCTCACCACCGTCGCCGTTTTTCTCTGGTTGCTCTAAGAACACGGAGAACACACATAAGACCAAGAAAGACACCAAAATATCTGCCAAGTAATGAGGTCTTTTGAGAATAGCACAGTCGACAAAAACAGTACCTTGCGTAGCCTCTGACTCGGCACTGTCCGTCTTGTTCATCTTCGACTCTGGCTCATCACCTGATGTCGGGGTCTGCTTTCTTTTCTTCTGAATATCCCGCTGTGGCTTCACCTGCTACAGTACACAGAAATCAGTTTGCACACAAATGCATTTAGTGATAATAAAAATAAATACAAACCTGGACAATACACCTTCAACTTAGAATTAAACACTAATAGATGCTAGACTTAATGTTTGGCAAGGTTCATATTCTCCTCGTGGCATTTCCACATCAATAGTGTTAGCCTCATCTTAAGGCAAGCCAGAATTGGGGCAAAGGAAAGAAAAGGGAAAAATCTATTTAAGCTACTTAATGGAAAAAAAAAAAAAAAAAAAAAAAAAATCAACATCCGGACAGTTATCAGGGCAATGAATTGTGTGGGGAAATGTGGGATTTGTCGTTACTGTGGATGCAGGGCAGTTACTTTCTTCTGGAACTAGAAGGGCAAGTGATACTGCAAATATGTGTTGGGCACTATCTGTGACAAACTGCTTTAGGTAGCAAATAGCAGGCACAGGCAGTTTAGCAAGACTTGCCAGT